CTTTTATCTACTCGACTAGAATGCGTCGTGCTGTAACTTGTTTTCTGGAAAATATGTATTTGGAAAATGTTGATCCATTTTCCTCAGTTATTTGAAGAGAAATGGAGATGGAATTGGCTTGAAATTCGCTAGGTACTCTATAAGTTACAGCTTTTTCATTCGATTAGAGCCTTTTTGACTGCTTTTAAGAAAATGTTCTGACTCTTAATTCCTAGGTTGTTCGAAGTACTGTAAGTTCAAATTTTGACGAAAATTCTAAATAAACTGGTGTTTTTTCCATGCAAATAAAGTTGATTTTAACAATGTTTGGAAAAGTGTTTTTATCTACTCAACTATAATGCTGTCGTTCATTTTTTGGAAAATACTTTTTTTATTTTTATATTTTTTTATATTTTTTACTCGGTTTTTTCAAGAGATACGGTAAAATTTTTTCATTTTATTGGAACCTTTTTAACTATTTTTAAGAAAATAATACGCAGGTTCGAATTTTGACGAAAAGATTTAATAAAAAAAAATAAAAATATTTACATAACAATGTTTTTTTGGAAAATATTTCCCATTTTTCTCGATTAATTGAAGAAGTTTCGTAAAAATAACTTCATATTCATAATCTGCACAGAATTCTTCTGTATAAACTGTACAAACTGGAATTCCTGGAAAATTTTTGAAATTTATTTTCCCATTTTCCTAAGTTATACAAAAAAACTTCAAATTTATTATTTATAAAAATTCTCCATAAGTTAGTTAGTGCTTTTATCTACTGGACTAGATTGGGTCGTGCTATAACTTGTTTTCTGGCAAATATTTGAAAAAAGTTGACCCATTTTACCCGGTTATGGTAAAACTGATTAATTCTTAAGGTTCTCTGTAAATTAGTCTCTTTTTCATTCATTAGAGCATTTTTGACTGTTCTTAAAAAATGTTTTGGAAAATGTTCTAATTCCTAATTCGTTCGAAGTAGTCAGTTCGAATTTTTACGAGGAAGGTTTAATAAAAAAAAATTAACAATATTTCCATAGCCTACTCTATACATATAAAATGACTACATTTCTTCGAAAAATTTTTGTTTTTTTTTCTATCCGAGCAGACTAGAATTTTTTTTAAATATTTTCCATTTTTTCTGATTATTTGAAGAAGTGAGATAAAAATAGATAACTTGATATTCATAATCTTGTTTTTTCCATGCGAGTAAAGTTCATTTGAGCAATTTGTGAAAATTCTTTTCCCATTTTTCTACGTTATATCAAAAGATATAAAAAATTATTTCTGAATAAAATTATTATTCAGTGTTTCTATTTCTACTCGAGAGTGCATCGTTCTGTAACTTGTTTTCTGGAATTTGTTTACAAAATGTCCCTTTTTTTCCATTATTTAAAGAGGTATGGTAAAATTGACTTAAAATTCGTAAGGTTTTTTATAAGTTTTTTCACTCAATTAAAGCCATTTTGACTGTTAAGCAAATGTTTCGAAAACATTTTCATAATTCCTTTTTCCTGAGCTTTTCAGAGAAAAATAACTTTTGACTCATAATCTATGAAAAATTTTCTAAAAGCTCATAACTTGAGAAGTTGATCAGGCAAGGGACAAGATGCTCCAATATCTAAATATCAAAAAAATTATATTGTCGTGCTTGCGTTTTTAGAAATTTTTTTGGAAAAAATGAAATTTTAGAAACATTAAGCACGTAAAAAATGCGTAATTTTTCTGTGAAATTCTAATTCGTATTTGATTAATTTCAACATCAAGAATTTCGGAAAAGATTGCCGTAATTTCTGTTTATCATTCCTTTCACTTCGTTTATGACGTCTCAACGATAAAATATCAATATCAAGTTTTCAATAAACTTTAGTATCAATATGTTGAAAAATTGATATGAAAGTTTCTAGAAAGAATACACTTTGTTACAGATTTTTTTCTATTCTTTCCGATTCTCTCAATATCCCTGAAAATTCCCTCAGATTTCCTTAGAATTTTTCAAGATGACTTTGGATCTCTTCAGATTCTCTCAAATTCTTTCAGATTCTGCCAGGTTTAACTAGATTCGTTTAGATTGCCTGATATTCTTTCCGATCGCCTCTGAATCTTTCTAATTCTTTCCGATTCTTATTTTCATATTCCTTCAGATTTTCTTGGATTTCCTCAGCTTCTTCCAGATGGTTTCAGATGTTTTCAGATTCTTTCCTTTTTTTAAGATTCTCCCTTTCGGATTCTTTTTCTTTTTGATTCTTTCGGATTATTCCGGATGCTTTCGGATTGTTTCACATTCTTTCAAATTTTTGAATTCTATTCAGGTCGTTTTAAAACCGTGCAGATACTTTCAAATCCCTGCAGATTTTTCCAAATTCTTCCAAACTTTTCTAGATTCTTTGAGATTCTCACAAACTCCCACAGATTTCGTCAGATTCCTTCGAATACTTTTCTAATCTCTCACATTCTTTCCGTTCTCGCAATTTCTCTCAGATTCCCTCAAATTCCTCCATATTCTTACAAATGCTTTCAGATTCTTTCATTTTCTTTCTGATTCTCTCTTTCAGATTTTTTCGATTTTTTTTTTATTCTTTCGGATGCTTTTCGATACTTCCGATTTGTTTCCAATCAAATTTTTTAAGATTCTATCAAACACCGTCAGGAATCCTCAAGATTCTTTCAAATTTTCCAGTTCTATTCAGATCGTTTCAGATTCTTTCAGATGCCTGCAGATTCTTCCAAATCCTTCCAGATTTTTCCAGTTTTTTTTTTTAATTCTTTTTGATTTTTCTAAATTCTTCCAAATTTTTCAAAATTCTCTCAGATTCTCACAAATTCCCTCAGATTCTTTCATATTCCTTCAAATTCCTTCACTTTGTTTACGAATCTGTCAAATTCTGTAAGGTTCCCTCAGACTTCCTAGGATTCTCTGGATTTTAATAATAATAATAATATTTGCTTTCAATTTTTCCACATCGCTTCAGAGTCATGCAAAATCATTCAGATTCTTCCAGATTCTCTTAGATTTTTCGAGATTCTTCGAGATTCCCTAGGATTCTTCCAAGAAATATGAGAAAATGTCGAAAAATCTAGCAAAATATAAAAGAATCTAGAAAAATCTGGAAGACTGCAGGAATCTGAAAGGATTTGTAAGGATCTGAAACAATCTGAACAGAACTAAAAAAATTTAAAGAATCTTGAGGATTTCTGATGGTGCCTTTGAAAAAATCTAAAAAAGTTCGAAAGAATCCAAAGAATTCGAAAAGAAGAGTCGTGAAGAAAATGAAAGAATTTGAAAAAATCTTAAATTCTCTCAGATTCTTTCAAATTTTTTCGATTCTTTCAGAATTTTTCACCTTTCATATCGTTTCAGATTCTTCAAAATTTTCCCAGATAATTTCAGATCCCTACAGACTCTTTCAGATTCTTCTAGATTCTTCTGAACTCTTCGAAACAGCTAATATCCATCTACCAAGATAACAATACCAATAATTTTTCACGTTTATTTTTAAAATATTAGAAAAAAAAAATTTGGCCAGAAATAAAAAAAATTACACGGAGCAAATATTGTCACAGGATTATGTTTTCTCGACGTTTCATGATCCATTGAGTACGAAAAAGTAGGTACCCATCTGTGTCGATTTTTATTTGACAGACATTTTACGAAACTACGGGACCGATTGTTGTCAAATTTTAGATGTATATAGATGATCAAACGCAAACAAAAATTTATCTGATCATCCCCACCAAAAATATGATGACGTTACCTCCAAATTTTGCATAGTAAACGCTATTTAAATTTTATAAAACAGCATACTCCTGTACTTGTGGTTTATGGATCTGTTTTGATTTTTTTACCCTAAATATCCACATTTTCGCAAAAAGTCCAACCCAAGTTGTTGCTTGCCTCAGTTGGAGAAGGGTGATACCAATAACGCGAAAATTGCCTGTTCGACTCCCTCATGGGCCACTTTTTTTCTTACATTGTGACTGGTTTTGTCTATATTTTTTAACTTAAAATTTCACAAAATTTAATTTTATAATTTACATATTTAATGAAGTAAATTTGGTTCATAATTGCTCTGTCCAAATAAACTTTAAACCATTTTTTTTGTCTAAATTTTTAAGAATAAACAGCCTCCGTTTAAAAAAACCAAATACACACAGCCTTAGTGGATTTCTTCAGGTGTCCACAAAGACGGTGACGTGTAAATTTTTAAATATAACTTCTTTTCTACAAAAATATAAACATCTGCAAACTTTCAACGAACCCTTTCTCTTTCTATAAAGAATTTATGTCTCTAAAACTATATGAGATTTTTTCAACGAAAACTGTTTCAAAAAGAATCGATAAAATAATACTTATTTTGAAATTTCATGTTTTAAAAATTTCTAGAAAGGAGGGTCTAAATTATTCCAGTTTCACACGTACGTGAATTTCGCAAAAACATCAATCGTAAAATGTTTGGTTAATTCATTAACAACAAACAAAAACAACCATGTGTTACTATGGTAATATGAGTTGATTATTTTTATTGAAAAACCATGTAATTATAACTTTAACGAGCAATTTTTTTTAAACACAATAATTGCTTACCGTAGAACTAGAATTCATCAAATTTAAATGTTAGTCAATTTTCATGATTTTTAATTTTTTCAGCTGAAACTATCAAAAATTTTGGAAACAAGATCATCGACATCGTGGTCTTCTACGTAGTTTAATAGTAATTAGTTTAAAAAAAGAACAACCAACAATTATATCTCACTTGTCACTCACACCGCCTAGCGCTAAATGTCAAATCAAACATTACATTAAAACAAACTTTTAATAATTTTTAAAACCGTAATCTTCTACTATTGTTACTGAAACAAACTGATAACGCAATAAAAACCAAACAAACTGAAAAACGTAACTGAAATTTTAATCAAGCAGATAAAAATGATAGTAATTAGATCAAACAGTCAGTCGCTCGATGGATTTTTAAATTTAACCGAAGTGTTTAACAAGCAATTAACTTAATTAAAACACATACCTTACAGAAGCCAGTCATATTGCGAACCGTCAATTAATTTTAATTGAACACATCCTCCACCAGCAAGATTCCAGCCGGTTAATTATTATTATCTTAACAACAAATGACGCAAAAATCTTTGACACGTAATTTTCCCATTCACTACACCCACGACGATTTTCCTTTCATTAATACTCGAACGAGTAGAGTTTTCATTTATAGTTCGAACACAATATTTGCACAGAAATTACACCAGACCATTGTTGTTCTTTTAAATAATGAAGATATAGAGTGTTATCTAAGGATTTACGTACACTAATTACGTTGAAAATAGCTGCGGGTAAATATTTGCCGCACACATTTCTTTTAATTTATTGCGCCTTCGGAGGTGGACGATGGAAGTTCCAACTTTCGGCGGAAACACATCACATGCATATTTAATAAAACGTCATGGGTGAAACGAGCAGACCATCTAATGCAAGAAATAACATCGTTTTTGATGGAATGTTTATTTTCTGGGCGTTCAGCCACAATCGCTTCTGAATGTTTGCATAGTGAGAGAAAACAATCGTAGAAATGAATGGAAGGGTTTGAGCTTTTTGTGCGCTGAAAAATTTTGAACTTGACCCGATGACCCAATTCGAACCGGAGGGTCGACGTCAACAGAAAGTTTATTTTATTTGTAGGGGAAAACCGGTGCGGGATAATCCGGTTCGGATAACAATAATCTGTAGCTGAAAATTTATCCGGGTGCGAATTTCAGGATAGCGCTTCAATTACACCACTTTTTTTCAAACGGAACTGAAAGAAATAGTGTGCTCGTAATTTGGAAAACAATTTTTTTGATGTGTTGTCATTACATAAATATTCTATTTGGCGTTCGCACGAGAGTAAATAAACTCGCAAAGCAAAAAGGTTCGGAGCGTCTAAATTAAAAATGTTTCGTTTGTGAGGCTCGGATTATGAAACGGGCCTGAGATTGCTTTGTAGTCTTTTTCGACCGGACTGGTGGCAGTTACATACTAATGAAGTGTGCATCTCTATTCTAGTTGAAAAAGCTTTCCTAAGTGAAATTAATTTTACTTGCTCGAACGGCGTATACAAAAAGTTGTTTTTTTGTGGAAATTAAGTAATGAGGTTTAGTCTTTAGCCTGACGGCAACTGCCTCTTAATTTCAACTTTTGGAATATCTTAAGCTAATTATTTTTGTATAGGGGTTACTGCGTTATAACGTCACGGCTCTATGGTTTTCTATTGAAATTTTAATGGAAATTGTAAGCGTTTTCAATGAATTTTCCTGCGTGTGCTTCGTTCTCAAACGACTAATGGGATGTTGGAAAATTGGTGCTTGCTTATTGGAAGTTCGCTAACTGCATTATAATGAAATTGTCTGAAATAACACACTAAAAACTAAACAATTATTATTCAAATAAAAAACCTACTGGGAATTAAAGGTAGCTATCCAAACTGCTATAAAAGTGTCAAGTCAGTTACTATTTTTGGATTTTCTGAAGAATTACTCAGGTTATGTACACAAAAGTCACCAAGGATATTTATAACATTCAACATCGGAAAATTTTTCTTTCTAGAAATGAAATCGCAAAACACTTAGATAATTTCAAGGGTTCAGAATACTCTAGAACTGAATTTGTTAATATCATCCGAGCAAACAATAGTTGGTCAAAATCGATAGTAATGTCATTATTAAATGAAATGAAAAACCATGAACTTAAAATCGATCCCTGAAGAGCACCATTGTCTGTGTTTTGCTATTATACCCATCTAATATTAATTTTTAACATTATTATTATTTATTTTCAACACAACAGATATTTTTCCAGAAATAGGCAACAGCTCGTACTTTATTGTCTTTTATTTAATTTCGATTCAACACGTGAGATATTTCATATTTCAGAGAAAACACTCTTGATTACACTGTTATAAATAATAATAATTTATTATCATGATTTAGTTATGTGCGGTAGATAAATTTGCACATTGTCAAAAATCTAATTTCTTTAAATTAATATAATTTAAAAAAAAATGCTATATAATTAAATATAAATATCACAGCATCATTTATTTATTTATCTTGGAAATGTTTACTCATTTTTCGCAATTTCTTTGAAATGTCATGTAACTTCAGATTCGCAATTACAAAATTTACCACAAACATGTTTTTTCTTACTTGAATAGAGTCCGTTTGACTTTTTTTCTAAACTTTTTCCAAATTATTTCCCTACTTTTCTCGGTAATATAAGAAAAATTGAAAGAGTAACTTACAGATTTATATTATTTACGGAAACTTCCTTACACGTTAGTGTTTCCTTTTTTTTTTTTGAAAAATTTTGCGAAAATGTTTCCCACTATTGTATATATATTATTTGACGGCATGTAAAAAATTTAAATTCACGTCTTCTTGGTCCTTTTTCGTTCTTTTCGTAATTTTTCGTCCTTTCTCGTTCTTCTCCTAATTTCTCGTCCTTTTGGTTCTTTTTACGTCCTTTTCGTAATTTTCGACCCTTTCGTCCTTTTTCGTCCATTTTCGTCCTTGTTCGTCCTTCTACGTCCTTTTCGTCGTTTTCGTCCTTTTTCGTCCTTTTCGACCTTTTCAACCTTCTCGTCCTTTTTCGCCCTTTTTCGTCCTTTTTCGTCCTATACGTCCTTTTCGTCCTTTTCGTTCTTTTTCGTCGTTTTTCGTCCTTTCTCGTCCTTTTCGTAATTTTTCGTCCTTTTCGTCTTTTTCCATCCTTTTTCGTCCTTTGTCATCCTTTCTCGTCCTTCTTCATCCTTTTCGAGCTTTTCGTCCTTTTTCGTCCCTTTTGGTCCCTTTCGTTCTTTTCGTCCTTTTTCGTCCTTTTCGTCCTGTTCGTTTTTTTTTCGCTCTTTTTGTTTTTTTTTCGTCCCTCTTTCGTCCTTTCTAGTCCTTTTTCGTCCTTTTTCGTCCTTTTCGTACTTTTCGTTCTTTTTTGTCCTTTCCGTCCTTTTCTTACTTTTTCGTCCTTTTTCGTTCTTTTTAGTCCCTTTTCGTCCTTTTTGTTTTTTTTTCGTCCCTCTAATTCTTTTTGGTCCTTTTCGTCCTTTTCCGTCCTTTTGGTCCTGTTCGTTCTTATTCGTCCTTTTCGACCCTTTTCGTCCTTTTCGTCAATCTTCAACCTTATTCGTTCTTATCGTCCATTTTCGTCCTTTTTCATTCTTTTTTGTCCTATTCGTCCTATTCGTCTTTATTCGTCCTTTTCGTCCTTTTTCGTCCTTTTTCGTCCTTTCTCGTCCTTTTCGTAATTTTTCGTACTTTTCTTCCTTTTTCATCCTTTCTCATCCATCTTCGTCCTTTTTCGCCCTTTCGTCCTTTTCACCCTTTTCCGCCCTTTTCGTCCTGTTCGTCCTTTTTCGTCCTATTCGTTTTTTTTTTCATCATTTTCGTCCTTTTCGTCCTTCTTCGTGTATCTCCTAATTTCTCGCCTTTTCGTTCCTTTTACGTCCTTTTCGTCCATTTCGACCCTTTCGTCCTTTTTTCGTCCTTTTTCGTCCTTGTTCGTCCTTGTTCGTCCTTTTCGTCGTTTTCGTCCTTTTTCGTCCTTTTCGACCTTCTCGTCTCTTTTCGTCCTTTTTCGTCCTTCGTCCTTTTTGCTTTTTTTCGTCCTTTTCGTTTTTCTTCGTCCTTTTCAACCGTCTCGTCCTTTTTCGTCCTTTTTCGTCGTTTTCGTTTTTTATTCGTCCTTTTCATCCTTTTTTGCTCTTTTCGTCTTTTTCGTCCTTCTTCGTACGTTTCGTCCTGTTCGTGCTTATTCGTCCTTTTCGTTCTTATTCGTCCTTTTCGCCCTTTTTGGTCCTCTTTCGTCCCTTCTCATCCTTTTCGTATTTTTCGTTCTTTTTCGTCCTTTTCGTCCTCGTCATCCTCTTTCATCCTTTCCGTCCTTGTCGTTCTTTTTCGTCCTTTTCATCAATTGCGTCCTTTTCGTCCCTTTTCGTCCTTTTCGTAATTTTTCGTCCTGTTCGTCCTTTTCGTCCTCTGTCGTCCTTTTTCGTCCTTTTCGTTCTTTTCGTCCTTTTCGTCCTTTCCGTTTTTCTTCGTTCTTCTCAACCTTCTCGTCCATTTTCGTAGTTTTTCATCCTTGTTCGTCCTTTCTCGTCCTTTTTCGTAAATTTTCGTCCTTTTTCGCCCCTTTCGTTCTTTTAGTCCTTTTTCGTTCTTTTCGTCCTGTTCGTCCTTTTTCGTCGTTTTCGTTTTTTATTCGTCCTTTTAATCCTTTTTTGCTCTTTTCGTCCTTATTCGTCCTTTACGTCCTTTTTCGTCCTCTTTCGTCCTTTCGCGTCCTTTTCGTAATTTTTCGTCCTTTTTCGTCCCTTTCGTCCTTTTTCGGCTTTTTTCGTCCCTTTCGTCCTCTTTCGTCCTTTTTCATCCTTCTTCGTCCTTTCGAATCTTTTCGTCCTTTGTCGTCCCTTTCGTCGTTTTTCGTCTTTTTCGTCCTTTTCGTCCTTTTTCGCCCTTTTCGTTTTTATCTTTTTTTTCGTTCATTTCGTCTTTTTCGTTCTTTTTCGTCCCTTTTCGTCCTTTTTGTCCTTTTCGTACTTCTTCGTCCTTTTTCGTCCTTTTCCTACTTTTCGTCCTTTTTCGCCCTTTTCATACTTATTCGTTATTTCTCGTCCTTTTCGACCTTTTCGTCCTCGTCATCCTCTTTCGTCCTCGTCGTCCATTTTCGTCCTTTTCGTCCTTCGTCCTTTTTGGTTTTTTTTCGACCTTGTCGTCCTTTTTCGTCCATATCGTCTTTTTCGTTCTTGTCGTCCATTTCCGTCCTTTTCGTAATTTTCATCCTGTTTCGTCCTATTCGTTTTACTCGTCCTTTTCGTCCTTTTCGTACTTTGTCGTCCTTTTTCGTTCTTCTCGCAATTTTTCGTCCGTTTCGTCCTTTTTCGTCAAAATCAACTTTTTTTCCTTTCAATTATAACCCTTTTGGGAATTTTTAAACAAATTTTTGGAAAAAAATACTGCAATGTATTTCTGCATTGTTTGAAGTATAACAAAATTACACCAGATTCTTTATCATGAAAAGTTCTCCAAAAGCTTTAAAATGTTTAAATTATAAAAATGTAAATTTAAATAAAAGCTTATGTTGCTCATGAACACCAGGATTCTTTTTCTGAAAAATGTAAGTAGTTTTCTGTTCTACATTTTTTCTTATTGGAAAATTTTTGGAAATCATTTTCTCCTTTTCTT